TATATATATATATATATATAATATTATGTATTATATTTGTCAGTTCTGATGCCCTGCCAAGAACATTTTAAAAGAGAAGATAATCCTTGCGTTAAAAAAAGAAAAAAATTGATCTATACGTATATCATATTATGTCGATGTAGAATTATTTTACAACTCGATGAAGGGTTAAGCGTTTTGATTTAAGTTTTCTTTCTTTTATATATATATATATATATATTTCTTTTTTCTTTTTTTTTCTTTTTTAATTTTAACAATCGTAGATTTTATCACTATCTTGTGGGAGTAACGTAATCGTTAGCTTCTCAATTATTTTTTTTTTATTGCTTTTGCAGAGACGTTATCACGCAAGATCGCGTACACCTAAAAATTAAATGAAAAAAATATTCATATATTTAACAGAGTACGTTGTTTTACTTGGCGAGGGAAAGAATCCCATTGGATTTTATTATCCTGAATGTGTGTAACGTATGTAAAAATACGTAATTTTACGTTGAGAGTACTAGGAATATTAATTATTCGTATTACATATATGTTTACGTATTTATTTGGTTAAAAGGTATACTTGTTAATCGGTATTAGTTAAAGAAGATAAAAGAAAGAAAGAAAGAGAGAGAGAGAGAGAGGGAGAGAGAATAAAAATGTGTATATTGAATAATTACTCTTGAATTTTTTAACTGCCATATATCCAAATAATTAAGCGCAAATCTTCTAAAGATACTTATTGTACAATCTCTTGATGTTTAATTATCATGCGCTTTGTAATCGTTATCTCTATCAAATAACAAATTCAGGATTATAAAATCCAATTCCATTCCTTAAATACGTAATTACACGTAAATCTGTATTATTTATTGTATATTGTAATTAGCTCCTAGGCGGATCTTAACAAAAAGAACAAAAACTTCATCATTATCTCGCGCTTACATATTCAAGTTTATGGACGGAAATTATATATATATATAGAGAGAGATATATAATATTTGGAATAATTTTAAATATGATTCTGGACAACCTTTGTAATTTTTCTATATTATAAATATCATCGTTTCGTATTCGCTTTTATATAATAATTTTATTTAGAATATCGTACCGTTATATTTTGTTTATACAATCACGAACACAGCACTTTGTAGCTCGTAATTCATAGAGAAAAAGAAATAGAGAGAGAAAAGAAAAGAAGTCATAGTTGCTATATCCGTTGTGTAAAAGGAACGGTAAATATTTTATAGAATGGTCAAACTTATTCTACAGTTTTGTAACATACGATGTATACAAGTATAAGAAACAAAAAAATAACCAACAACAGCAAGAAAAAGAAAAAATCAATAAGCAAACAAACAAAATCGAAACCATATACGATATTATGATTTAGAAACGTATTAGCATATTTAGAGAGAACATAGGCGAGCGATAAAGTATAGTAATATTAAACAATACTATTTATTAATCTATTTACGATTAGTATTTATTTAAATGAGTTTAAAGTTGTTTCTCGAAAGGGCAGTTGTCTTCAAACTGTTTATTTTTTCTCTCTCAATTTTTTTTTTATATTCTTTAACAAGTACCTTTTGTCATGTTTGGTCCTCTGAAGTATATCGGACGAGCAGCCCTCGGAAATATTTCATGGATTTCTGTGCTGAAAGGAACTTTATGCATATAGTTGACGATGATGATGATTATAATGATAATGATAATAATAATTATGATAATGATGATGCTGCTGCTGCTACTACTATTACTACTACTGATGATGATGATAATGATGATTATGATGATGATGATGATGATGATGATGATGATGATGATGATGATAATGATGATGGTGATGGTGATAGTAATGAGATGATGATGAGTGGAACGAAGAAAGGGTCGCGCGACCAGCGCATTCATATTCTACTTTGAAATAAGTATGAAAAGAAAAAGAAAAGGGGCTACAAATTAATAATGATCGTATATTACACGTGTTTCAATGAAACAATGTTTAAACTGTGACTGCAATCATTGCTGAGAGAACAAATTACGCGTTTTAAAGCGCACACACACACAGATACGTTTAAACTTAAATTTATTACATATACATATACACGCTATAAAAAGATATGATTGCAAGATACATTATATACTTATATATACGTACATTTCACACACACACGCAAACACATATTTAGCCACACACACACACACACACTTAAGAGAGTGCAAGCAGTATCAATGAGATTATAAAAGAATTGCGACGTTGTGTTGTTAACTAAAAAATTTCTTCACGTGCGAATCTTTCATTTTTGCTTTTTTCTTTTTTTCCAACATGTTATCTTATTAGTGATTTATATATATGTATATTTTTTTTCTTATCTATTTTTCTTTCTCTGTGTACGCACATTCATTTTCAAATATTATCGTTTACGTCATATCGATCTTAAGTTTTTAATGTTGCGATCGTTTGTAGAATATCCTCGGTATTATTTTGTGTATATCATCTAATCTTTGATCATACGCTAGGTATTTCTTTTTTTTTTTTTAATTATTAATTTTTCTTTTCTTTTTTTTCTCTTTTTTTTTTTTTTCTTCAGAACAAATTATAAATATAGTGCTGATTGAATGGATGATGAGTAAACGAACGAATAAAAATTAACGATGCATTATAACTTAAGCCTGCCATTCGAAAGTTAAGCATGCGCTTAGGTGAAAAATGACGATGATAATAATGATGATGATATTGATGGTGGGTGGTGGTAATGATAACGATACGTGGACTAAAAACGAAACGGGATGGCAAAAAATAATGTCTGTTTAACTTTAACGAATGTTTCACTTGGAAAGCGTCGTTCGTCGTCGTGTAGAATTAAGCGAATGTGAGAGAGTGAAAACAATGAATGAAAGATTGAGAGAGAGAGAGAGAGAGAGAGAGAGAGAGAGAGATAGATAGAGAGAGAGAGAGAGAGAGAGAGAGAGAGAGAGAGAGAGAGAGATACATAGGAAATTGTTTAAAAAAAAAAAAGAAGATAAGAAATCCATGATCATGTTGCGTTGCGTATCGAGATGAACGGCGCTCGTTACAT